AAATTTAAGCGTAACAGTAACCATATATGCTTAGGTTGCATCCAAATGGTACCCAAGTCCTAGACAATATATTTCCATGTATACAAATGCCAACGTAAAGCTCATATTCGTATCATCATGTATGTGAGTTTGAATATTACTAACATTAATTGTCAATAGCATTATAAGACTTTATTTCATACTAGATTAATGGGATTTAATTAATCCATGGATATGTAGGATTCGTTGTGCGTGGATCTAGCCGCATGAGCCATTGATAGATCGAACAATGATTTCTAAATGTAACCAAATTGCTATCGCATTTCTATGGGAACGGGCTGCCGTGCTTAGTTGGTGCACAAATCCATATGTAATGGAATTGGGTTCTTCATACAAGTGGAGTTCAGCGATGGGGGCGCGGACTACCATTGTGCGAAGCACGATCCTACAATGAAAGGAGCTCGATCTTAGCCAAATAGGGTGGTGGTATTGTTTAGATAGGGTGAGACTCAACATTAAATGGGATCGCGTTCTTGTTGTCGATGGGTGCGCGATCCCATGGTACATGTAACACGTTCCTGTCAAATAGGGATCTTGATCCTAATGTATCAAGATCTCGCTTCCTATTCAAACGGGATCTCGCTCTCTAATCAAACAGGATCTCGTTCCGTAAATACATGTAATGCGTTCCCGTTAAATATGGATCTCGATCCCAATGTATCTGGATCTTTCTCCCTGTCCAAACGGGATCTCGATTAGTAACTTCTACCCTCATCGGAATTCGCTTCCTGAGCTTTAGAGCTTTAGGTAGCCATCGATCCGCCGCTCCTGCTCCCGGAACCGAAGCCGCTCCCTCTCCCACTCCCGGTAACTATGGTATTAACATTAAGAGTCAAGGGTTGTAGAGGGTTGAAGAGTGAACCTAAATTTTTATTTTTTTATGAAGGTCACAATCACTCTTATCGGTCATATTTCAAATCGGTGGACGTGAGCATGGCTTTGACTAACTTAAAGTTCACAAAAGACTTTCGTGAACTTTGTGGCCATCTAATTGAACAACTAGTAGCAATTTGAAAAGAAAAATGGTATCATAATATACAATCTCTAAACTAAAATAATTTCATATTTTTACACTATTCATTGCTTTGTGCATTCCTCCTATCCTTCTGCAATTCTATGCGGTTTTCCGATCGATCCATTTAATCTGCCAGTTCTACATTGTAGAGCCAGTAGTAAAATCCTGAATTCGTGGGCGTGATTATATGCCTGGCATACATTAAACTTTAAAAAAAAAAAGAAAAAAAGCAAAACAGCCAGCCGCACGAGACCGTACTACACTTTCCAAGTTTTGGAAAGGACAAGTAAGGGATGAAAAAAATGCGCTGTACATGGGCGGCTACCATTTGTTCTTGTTATTGAGATTTTCCTAAAAACGTGCCGCACGAGACCGTAGTGGCCTACACCGCTTTTGTTTCTCAATAATTTCCTTTCTAATGATTCCCCATCAAGAAATGGACTGATTGTCAAATTCGAAAAATCTCATAAAAAATATGTGGTCGGTATGGAGCAGCTTTTAACCTTTGGGTGCTTGAACTATTATGCCTGGGCAGGACCAGAATCAAAAGATTTATTTTCTCCCCTCGGTATAAAACTGAGGATGATTTTTTTTAGATCCAATTTTGGTGGGATCCACTTTTCAATAACTGGATGAGTAATTTTTTTTTTAAAAAAAAAAAAAAAAAAAAATAAGGGAAAAAGGATTTCGAGTATCTAAGAAATTAGACTTACGTTTTGAAACATTTCACGACGCAAGAATTTGTTATAAATAGAAATTTTGCATAATCCTAGCCCTGGTTGT